TAACAACCCCATTACATGTCAACACTGTCCCTTCTCAACTTGGGTTCCCTATTACCAGCTTTCCTGCCCCTTCTGCCTTCTAGTCTTTATCCCTGGACTGTTGTGCCCCATTAGTCTCGTTTTATTTTATGGGGCTGTCTAACCTTTGGCTGAACGGTGTACCTTGGGAGTAACTTCATTACTGAGCTAAACGGGTGTCCGGGGGCCATACTCTCAGGGTTTCTTCAGTCTCTGTCAGGACAGTAAGTCTGGTCTTGTTTTGTGAGTTAGAATCTTATTCTACATTTTTCTCCAGCCCTGTCCAGGACCCTCTGTCATGATTCCGGTCAAAGTAGTGGTGGTAGCTGGGCACCATCTAGTTGTACTGGACGCAGTCTGGTGGAGGCTGCGGTCGTTGTGGTCCATTAGTTCTTTAGACTAATATTTTCCTTGTGTCTTATTTTCTTCATTCTCTCTTGCTCCCAAAGGGGTGAGACCAGTGGAGTATCTTAGATGGCTGCTCACAGGGTTTTAATACCCCAGATCAGCAAAAAATTTTGAATAAACCATTTTTTAAATCCATATTAAGACCAAACCAATTGCCATCTAGCCCATTCATGTGTGTCAGAGTAGAACTGTGCTCCATGGGGTTTTCAATAGCTGTGATTTTTCATTAGGCCTTTCATCCAAGAGGTCCCTGGATGAACTTTTACTGCCACCAACCTTTTGTTTAGAAGCTGAGAATTTAACCAATTATACCACCCAGGACTCCTAAATCCAGATTAGATGTGTTCAAATATAATGTGAACTTTTTATTAATATTTTATATAGTACCCCAATGAAAGTTATTTTGCAAAATAGTGTGTGTTAGATACCATTCTGCAGTGAAAATAACAGGTATAACCAAAAATCAGTTCCCATTAGCCCACTGTTTTTTGACAAGTGTTTTAAAGAAATCTGCTTAATAAGAATAAAATTAACCATGTAAATATTTTCACTTTTAAGCTATAAAAGAGTAATGGCTGTGAAATTTTACCTTGGCACACAAAAAAGGAAAAACAATTTTTTGACTATTTTTCTGATATGCTAAGTACGTTGTTAAAAATCCACATGAGAAAAGTTCTATAAGAAAATATTGAAGGCAGTTATACTGGAGTTGATTTAATACTAACTTGACCTGGGTTGTGATCTTAGTTTATCTTGTAATTTTGGCAAGACATGTATTCTCTCTGCTTCTGTTTTATTGGCCTAAATAAACTAGGTTACCTCCCAAATTCTGCTTTTCTAAAATGTACAAAGTAAAAGGTGACAGTTTATGGTAACTATGTGCCTGTGATTCCTTTTCTAGATGGAGATAATGTAAAGTTACAGGATGATCTGTGTCTGATGCTCTGTTACCTTAACAAATACTTGTAATTCCTGATATCAAAATGATTTCTTCTATCAATTCTGTTCATACAAGACTTTAATTGCCATCACATATAATTGCTCATTTTCATTAATCGTTTTACTATTTTACTCATGTTAATAAGTTGTTGTAAGAAATTAGCTAGTATGATATGATCTTTGCTTTGAAATCTGGCTAAAATCAGATTAATCCAAATTAAAATAACATGGAGTGCTTTTTTATTTTCCTTGCTAAAATTTGTACACATCTATGTGCACAAAAAATCCTCAAAGTGTAATTAGCTCAAATAATACATCCTAAGGGTCGCTGTGAGTTGCAATCGACTTAAAGGCACCTAATAACAACAACAATAGTAGATATGTATAATAATTCATTCTCACTAATGATATCAAGGGTTATAACTGAAGAGCCAAATGTGAAGGCGTGACTAGAGTGTTTTTGGTTTTCCTGTAGTCTTACCTCATTCTCTTTAACCTGGTCATCTGTGGCCCTGAACCAACCATTTCTGAAAAAACAGCCACTGCCAGCTATAGCTGTGTAAACTATAGGAAATTCAAGATTTCATTTCCTTCTTCCTGGGCCATCTCTCTCCACACTTTTCCTATGATTTCTATCTTACTGAAAATCTGCTGACAACTGTTTTATTAGGTAAAAAGGAATTTTTTAAAACCCTATTGTTGATTTAATCATTAGTTAAGCCAATCATTAGTTAGGAATTCTGAATTATCCCATATAAACATCTCCTAAGCACTGTCCTTCACTGATATTATTTTAATTAAATATTTATTAAGTCAATTAAGTCAAAAAGTGGAAGAGTCAGAGTTTTCATTGGCTCCAAAATATATCTCCGTTTGTAAGACGAAAGCCAGAGATGTTGGTCATACTCTACAGATTATTAAATGCCATAGAAAACACTGTATTTATTTTAATAAAAAAATAGGTATTTGGAACACTTCATTAAATAGCATTTCATATAGCAAACAAATCCCTGGATATAGACCATATATAGAGACAATTTGTTAGTTGGTATGACAGCTTCCAAAATGGAAGCTTCTGATTTGGATAATTTATAATAAATACATCGTTGAGACAACCAGGCTAATTATAAGAGAAAGTAATGTTAAACAACTTAAGAGATATACAAAATACTTTTGGGGTGGATGAGGGATAGAGGAGATAGCTTTTAGTGGGCCTTAGAAAAGGAGTAGGATTTCCAGATGTTGTAATGAGATGGAGTGGGACATTTCAGGTAGAGGGATTAGTATGACCATACAACCAACCCAAACCAAACCTGTTGCTACTGAGTCAATTCTGACTCATGATAAACCTGTGTGTTACAAAGTAGAACTGCTCTATAGGTTTTTTGTTTTTTTTTGTTTTTTTGGCTGTAATCTTTAAAGAATCAGATCTCCAGGCCTTTTCTTCTGTAGTACTGCTGGGTGGATTCAAACTGTCTACCTTCAGGTTAGCAGACGAGTGCGAACCATTTGCACCACCTAGGGACCTTTGAGGGAAAGGAAAAAAAAAAAAACATTGCTATGGAGTCAATTCCAACTTGTAACAACCGTATAGGACAGAGTAGAACTGCCTCAAAGGGATTCCTAGGCTGCAGTCTTTATGGAAGCAGATCTCCATGTCTTTTCTCCTTCGGAGTGGCTCGTGGGTTCGAACCCCTGACCTTTTGGTTAGCAGCCAAGCACTTAACCGTTGTGCCACCAGGACTCCTAACCTAATAAGGATCCACCTTAATCCTTCATTTTATACATGAAACTGAGGCTCAGAGAATTGAAGTTATTTGTCCAAAGTTCTAAGCTAGAAAGTGGAAGAGTCAGGGTTTTCACTGGCTCCAAAATATATCTCCATTTGTAAGATGAAAGCCAGAGATGTTGGTCATACTCTACAGATTATTAAATGCCATAGAAAACACTGTATTTATTTTAATAAAAAAAAATAGGTATTTGGACCGCTTCATTAAGTAGCATTTCATATAGCAAACAAATCCCTGGATATAGACCGTAATTCTGTAAGTAAAATATGTGGTATGCTAGATGGTGATGGGGGCTATGGAGGAAAACAGAGTGGGAAAGGGGGTAGGAAGTGTAGAATATGGATGGAGGATATTTTTATAGTTTTAAATAGAGTGAAAAGAGCCTCTCCTGAGGAAAAAGAGATTCAGTAGTTTATCCTGGTATCTCTTAATGGCCAAAGCATAGTTGATGAAGGTATGTGGTGAAACGTGGTGCTAACTGGTCATCCAGGGACCCAATGTCTAGCCTCAAGACATTAGTCAATTCACCTGTCTGAACCTTGATTTTCTCCATTCCAAACAAAAGGGTTAGACAAGATTCAATAGATATTTGTTAAGCATTTACTATGTATGGAGTGGGAGGGCACTGTGCTAGGAACCAAACATGGGATGATTTTTAGAACCCCTTCCAGATCAAATAACAGATTATTCTTATCTTGCTTTTAAAAGGATGACAATTAATTGGCATTTCTGAGTATTCTGATTACTGAGATATCCCTTTAATTTAGTAATCCCTGTATCCACTGTAAATGTGAGATTATCACAAGGAAACACTGACAACATAGTTTCCACTTTTGCGTAATTAAACGTGTCATTTGTTACGGAAGCCAAGGCAAGTTATCTTCCTTAGTCATCAGCACAAACGTAGTGAAATTTGGCTTACGCAAACTCAATATAATGTCAAGAGGAAACAGATTAGTTTGAAAGATGATGCACATGATAGCTATTTGTCTATACTCTTGCACTCACACTGCTACAGAAAAATGACTATGCTGATTCAGGTCTTCATGGGGATGGATAGAAAAGCATGGATCTTAAAAGGTTCTGGAATTTTTGTCCCGGAAATAATAGTAGTTAACATTTATTGGGCTCTTATTACACAGCAGCCAACGTGCTAAATGCTATATTTATGCTAGCCTCATATTTAATCCCTATAAAAAATGAAGGGATACCACCATTATTATCCTCATCCTACAGTAGAAGAAACTGAGAAAGATTAAGTAACTTGTCTGAAGTCAGCCAGCCAGTAAATGGCGAAGCCAGAACTCTCTGGCTCCTAAATCTGTGTTCATAACCTTTGCTCTGGTGCTGGTTAAATTCACTGTGTTCTGTGACCACAGACTAAACCCTTAATCCAGTTGGCCTCCTGGAAAAAAGCCAAGTCATTGGTCACAAGTAGAATTGAGTAAGAATGCAGGAAGAGATAATGTTAAAACCATTACCAGTGACTGGGAAGTGAAAGGGAAACCAAAACAGAGAATAAAATATCAACAAAAATCTTCACATGATCTGCCAAAATAGGTCATCTGTTTATCAAAACAATAGACTAATTCTGTAAGCAAGAGAACGTTTGGGAAAAATACAAGTCTAACCATGAAATTTCTGGGTGGAATATTATCAGCGTTGAAAGGGTAGTGAAGAAAGATAAAACATTAACTACACGTTGGCAACTCAGGATAAAACAGACTCATTAGTAAAGCATAGTAAGTATTCTTAAAAAAGGGGGGGGGGTCAATCAATATTTAATTGTCAATTACGTTAAACTGTGTGCTAAATACTTGAAGAAAAACAAAAAGGTATGCATGATACATCCCAATTTTTATTCAAAGTTTACATTTATAAATTTAAGAATTCATGTACATGCTTAAAAGTATTATATATGAGAACAAATTAGTATTCTCATTAAAAGTCAAGATAATCCAAGAAGTTTTCATGAAATTACACAGCCCCCTTTGAGCTCCTTGAAGGGATTTTTGTCCTCTGGAATGCCCTGTACTAAGGGATCTTCACCAGATCTTTTTTCAACGTAATCTCTTACTTCTTCACAACATTTGGACACCTTAAAGGAAAGGAGAAAGAGCTGAATCTTTTGGTTTAAAATAATACTGCAGAATCCAAGAATGTATTTATTATAACACATTTCCTTGTTGTATCTTTTTAATGCTGTGCTCTCTGCTTTCTGCCAAGGCGTATGTACTTTCCAGGCAAGAAGCAAAAAAGCTACTCCCTCCTCCGTCCTCCTGGATGTCTCCAGACAAAAGAGAAACAGTAGCCACACTCCAGGTAAGGGTTCCTAGCCGACACTACCACTAGTTACTTTAAAGGAGACAAGATCCAGAGATCAGAATTCAGCTGACAAGACACTTGAAGAATGTCAAGAGTGTACACCTTGATTAAATGTTTTTCCTTATTCCAAAAAATGTAACTTGTGAAGGTGAGAGGGAATGGACATATATTAAATTCTTACTATGAGCCAAGCCCATTCATTATCTCATTTAATTCTCTGAGATAATGACTTTTGGCAAGGTCACACAGCTGGTACATAGTGAAGCTCAGATTCAAATTCGGAAGCCGTGGCTCTTTCCAGTTGTACATCACCCTTCCCCCACTAGGGATGCTGAATTGTCTTTACTTTTACAGGGTAGGATAGGAGCTGTGCTAAGAGGGGGACTTTGTCTATCTTTTTCCATAATTGTATTTATTTAACTTTTTGTTTATAACCGTATTATGTCCAATTTATTTCCATATTCCTTCCTCATCCCCTCAAAAAAATGTCATTTTTTTTTGCACCTTACACTAAGAAAGTAGCCAATCTACATAAAATTAAAATAGACATTATTTGTTTTTTATGTAGAAATTTATTGAAAGTTGTAAAGAAGAAAATTAGATCAATATAGATCACAAATTTGAACAACTTTTGTCTAAAGAAACTAAATTTCTCAATGGTAGTATCAGATTTGTTTTGAAAACCTAGTATTTTATTATTAAAATGTATACCAAAACCAAAACTAAACTCATTGCTGTCAAGTCATTTCCAACTCATAGCAACTCTATCGGGCAGAGTGGAGCTGCCCCATAGGGTTTCCAAGGAGCGGTGGGTGGATTTGAACTGCCAGACCTTTTGGTTAGCAGACAAACACTTAACCACTGCGGTACCAGGGCTCCATTAAAATGCATATGCGTGATTATTTAATTTCTTTATTTTACATTGCCTATACATAATCAGACACACACAAAAATACTGCAAACAAAATGGGAACTACTATGAATCTTTTATTCATTTATTCATTCACTCAAGAAATACTCTTTGAACATCTACTACAGGTATGTTATGCTGCATGGGGAATACAAAAGTAGTACTAGCAGTAAATGCTTTTATTGTGCATGTATTTTATACCTTCTCGCTAATCCTCACAACCATTTTCAAATGCATTATTGTTAGACTAATTTTGTAGGTGAGGAAACTGAGATGAGAGAATTTACATAATTTGTCAAAGGTTAGCTGAGGGTTAACTACAGCAAATATCTTCTAAAATCTATTTTCTGTCTCTAGATTATATGTGCAAGCTTTATTTTTCAGGCTTATTACCACCCCTGGATTCTAAGAAGTGTACATACGTAATTTTATTTTAAATTTCTATGCAATGATTGACCATTGACAATGCACTTAGTACAAGGTCAGCTCCGAGGGGTCAGGGGCCTTTGGCTGACTTATCCCAGGCATCTGGATCAGAGCCTGCATTTAGGTGATTCTTAATAAATAAATATTTGAACTGGACCATTCATTTTGTTTATGGACTTCTCTTCACTCATCAAGGAGCCCTGGTGGTACAATGGTGAAAGCATTCAGTTGCTAACCAAAAGGTCGGTAGTTTGAACCTACCAGCCGCTCAAGGAGAGAAAGATGTGGCACTCTACTTCCACAAAGACTTACATACAGCCTTGGAAACCCTATGGGGCAGTTCTACTTTGACCTATAGAGTCACTGTGAGTTGGAATTGACTGGACGGCAGCAGGTTTGGTTTTTGGTTCTTCACTCATCTACACCATTAGAGAAATGCTTTGTAAAAAATCAGACTTTAGATTTTAATGGATTCAGAGCCTGTTAATGTACCACTTAATACTCCTTTAGAGAGAGGTAATGTTACACACACACACAAAAACAATTTTTTTTTTTCAATTTACTTTGTTTTCACTTTAATATATCTTTTATGACATTAACACAGAGCCACTTCAATTTGGCAGTCCACTAACTGGCCATTCCATAACTTATTTAACCTGTTTACTGTTTTTAATTTTTTTTACATCTTCATGCTCTTTTTTGTAAGCTAATTCCAAGCCATGTTAGACCTGCAAGATTTTAGATTACTTTTCAACTCTGCAAATTTATTATCTACTTATCAGAACAAATAATTTCCAACTAGGCTAAGAAAGGAGCCCTAGTGGCTCAATGAATGGTTAAGAACTTGGCTGCTACCCATAAAGGTCGGCAGTTCAAATCCAGCAGCCACTCCTTGGAAACCCTACGGGGCAGTTCTACTCTGTCCTATAGGGTCACTATGAGTTGGAATCGACTTGAGGGCAACAGGTTTGGTTTTTTGGTAGGCCAAGGAAATATTGGTCAGGTGACTCCTCCTTATTACGAAACTTTCAGGTTTACAGACACTTTTGAAATGTGCAGTAATTTAGATTCACATCTTTCCTCCCCAGCTGTCCCAGATGACAGTTCTTTTGGCCTTACCTGTATGCCAGGAACAGAGGCTAAATTGCTATCCTAAATTCAGGAATCAGTGAGAGGTTGGTTTTTACAGTGTCTGGCTAGGATCTGAGGTATCTAGGAGTAATAAATTACCTAAAATAGTATGTAAGTATATGTTTATAAAATTATTTTGGTCGGGCACTGAAATGTGAGGTCACCTGCTGAAAGTCACACACTAGAGAACACACCGGGGTGGGGGGCGGTGCTGTGTGCTTCCACTCTTATCACTCTGCTTCCATTTAATGGTGGCATGAAGTCATTTGGATGGTCTGACTTTTTTATCCCCAGATTCAATCATTATTCACATTTTCATGTTACAGTTGGGAGCAGTGGCACGCTCCTTAGATTTCTAAGACATCTATCTCAGTATCAAACAATGTCTATTTGGCTTTGGAATGAACTGTAACTATTTCTTATGTGTAGCTTTGGGACCGTCTCATATATTTATCTCACTCTGAGCCCTTAGTCAGAGCTCAATACATATTGATTATGTAACTCAGTTTCCTTAATTATAGTTTTTGCAGTCCAATATTAAAATTAGTTTGATTTCCAAGAGCAAGGAGGCGGTTGAGTAATGGAGAAAAGGAACCCAACAGCCTGACAGATGGTGATGTGATGTTTGCCCAAAGTAAACATTCCAAGGTAGACCTACCACAAGTGAATAATAAACTTGAAGACAACCACACTGCCTGAAAAACAACAATCCTGAGTGCATAAATAATAAAACAACTTTTTGATATTTCAAGAAAAGAAGATAAAAAACAACTCTCCTTTCCTTTAAAAGTTTTTTATTCCCCCCACATTATAAAGTTAAGGACTTTCTTTTGGTGTGTGTGTGTGCTAGGCTTTTGTGCTGCTTATAGATTTAATTTTATCTTTACAGCAAAACATGTTTTTGCCTCAGTCTGAATAGAAAGGTAGAAGGGAAGTTTGAGACAATTATAAACATAAAGAAAGCCAAAAATCCCAGTTATGATTGGGAATAAGTGTTTTGAACAAAGTACAGAGATGATACAAACTCCTTTTTTCATTTTGGCCTGATAGAGTGCGATTTTTTTTTAAGTTAAGAAATATGCCTTTATCACTTATGGAGGAGTTTTTGTTCTACTAACTTTCCTAAAATGAAGAGGCCTAAAGTACATATCTACATTTTCCAAGCTCCAGTCACTATTTGTCTGGTGGGAGTTTTCATTTCTTTGCTGCCTCTGCTCCTTCTAAATGGCAGAGAACCGTTGGTAACCCTTTCTAAGATTGTCAGATGTTTTTAGGAGGAACCAGGGAGTGCTGTGTTTATGTGCAAAGGAAGAATAGAATGGACTCATTCATTACTGGCCATGACAATGCCGGGGAGGATGAGGTCGCAGCTACAAGTATTTGAACAACATCAAAGTATTGCATTAAGTAATGAGACGCTTATAAATATAGAAAAGTGAAAACAAAATGCCTCAATGCATTGCTTTATTTTATTGCTTAGCTAAAATATGATTTTTGCCTCATAGTGTTTTTTCATTCTTTCTTTCTTCTATTTTTTTAACACCTCTTTAAAAATGTAAAACCATTCTTAGCTAAGTAGTCAAGCAAAAACAAGTCAAAGGCTGGATTTGGCCTGAGGGTAATGGTTTGCTGACCACTTGATTTAGAGTCTAAATTGAGATCATTCTGATTCTTAATTTCCTTAATCCAAATGATTTTTTGCCTGAATAATTTATTTTTCCTACTTTGAACCTCTCAAGTGACTGTTATCTAACCTGGGACTCCCATAGTCTCTCTAATTTAAAATAAAATTCAAATGAAAGCAGCCACTTACCAGCATTCTTTCCAGTGTCACTTCTTTCTTGAGCTGATCAACTTCCATCTGCAATTTGTCCTTTTCTGTGAGGTCTTCGATATTGATCACTGGCATCTTTCACCTGCTAAAAAGGTGCAAGGTTAACTCATACACCTCAATTGCTGGACTTACTTTGAGTCGATATTAGCCAACCCTTCCTTCAGCTCTTGACTTACTAAGTAAACTGTTTCTTTGTTTGTTTTTAAATTCCTATGATATAATCGGTTTCTCATGAACACTCTCTGAACAATCCTAGCACTGCACACTAGCCTTGGGATTTTAAAGTGTCTTTTTAATCTTCAATAATATGATTAAACCAAGCATTTGATCCTAAACACCTGCCAGTAGGTTTGTGGGGAGGGGTCAGCTTAGTCAGCATACAATCTTAAATACCTAAAGCTCCCCTTTGGCCTGGTCTTTAGCACAGTGTAAAAATTTGGGTCTCTAACCTTCATCTCCAACCCCAAAGCCCTCCACCATATGATTTATGCCACTTAGATTATTTTGAGGTCATTTTGAGGACTGCCTATTAATCCTCTAAATCCCTGAAGTATTTAATCTGGTACTAACAGGGAACCGTATAAAAAGAGTCATTGTAAGTTCATTACAAATAATGGATTGAAATGTGAAACAATAGAATAGAAATATAGCAAGCAAAGAACTTTGTTAATCAGAAATAAACTAGTATTAAAAAAACAAGAAATAAACTAACACATTACTTAGAAGTGCTTTTACAAACAGTACTTGGAATTTGTATGTAACTATCACAAAGAATTGGATAACAACAATGACAAATGTAGCACGTTAAAGGGGAGATAGTGAGTTGATCCACCAGTGTCTGTCTAAATAATTCAACCGGAACAGGCTTTTTCTCTGCTCTCAATGAGATCAGTGGGCAATGAGGAAGGTGGCTCAGCTTTTGGTGGTACCCCTACAAAATTTCCTACAAAATATTTCATTGTAGACAAATGGCATCATGCCTACAGTCTCTCCTCTTTTGATCCTCTCTTTTTCTCTTTTATGACTCTGGTCCAATTTCTACAATGAAATATTTTTATAAAGGTAGGCATGTTCAGGTCACATGCTATTTCGGAGAGCAACATAGCATAACAAGTCTGCATAAAAATATTCTGCTAAAAAGTATATCAATGATAATTCTTTGTATTGTATCATGTTTTCATTTCTAAAGCCTTTGAGGAAATATTATTTCTCTTCCCAGTTTTATAGTAGTCTGTTCACCTTTGGGAAAGAGGCAGTGTAGTATTTTTTAGGGGCAAATTCCTATACAGTGCATCGTTGAGGCAAAAAAGACTTATGGGTACTTGAGCCCCATGTTTCTTAGGCTTTTTGTTTTTGATGTTGTGTTCTTTATTTTAAGAAATGATATGACAATAAAAAGGTATTTCTTCCTGTGTAATTATTATTTGGTATTGGAGAGACCATTATCGATTTTATTCTCACCCTCTCAGACTATAGCAATTCATAAGCACATCTATTTCTGCTGATCATTTTTACCCATTGACATTGTCTTTGCACAACTTTCTTCCATCTCAGAAAACTTTTCATCCCGCTCTGCAATGACTCTGACACTTAAGTGTGCATGAGAATCACATAGGGAACTTGTTTAAATATGGGTCCCACCCAAGTGACTCTGGTTTAGTAGGCCTAGGGTTGGGCCCCGGATTTTACTTTATTTCAGAGAGGCTGTACCATATTATTGCTAACCAAATCATCATTCACCACAATTTTTTAGCTATGTGGCCTTGAGCAAGTTGCTTAACCTCTCTGTGTCTCAGTTCACTGGAAATAGGGCCAATAATAGTACCTTCCTTGTAGATTTTTTGAGAGAGTTAAGTGGGGTAATGTAGATTTAAAAAAAGCAAACCTGTTGCTGTCGAGTCAATTCCAACTCACAGCGACCTTATTGAATCCTTGAAGTTGTCGTGGATTTCATTCTACTTGGATCCACAGTCAATATCCATAGAAGCAGCAGTCAAGAATTCAAACGATGCATTGGGCAAATCAGCTGCAAAAGACCTCTTTATAATGTTAAAAAGCAAAGATGTCACTTTGAGGACTAAGGTACTCCTGACCCAAGCCACAGTATTTTCAATCTCCTCATATGCATGCAAGAGCTGGACAATGAATAAGGAAGACCGAAGAAGAATTGATGTCTTTGAATTATGGTGTTGGTGAAGAATAGTAAATATACCACGGACTGTCAGAAGAACGACCAAATCTGTCTTGGAATAACTACAGCCAGAATGCTCCTCAGAAGCAAAGATGTTGAGGCTTCATCTCAAGTATTTTGGACATGTTATGAGGAGGGACAGGTCCCTGGAGAAGGACATCATGCTTGGTAAAGTAGATGGTCAGCGAAAAATAGGAAGACCCTCAAAGAGATGGATTGATACAGTGGCTGCAACAATGGGCTCATACATAGCAGTGATTGTGAGGATGGTGCAGGACTGGGCAGTTTTTCATTCTGTTGTACATAGGGTCGCTATGAATAGGAACTAACTTGACAGCAGCTAACAACAACAACGTAGATACAGTTTATGTAACAATCTCTTGTGCAAAGTAAGCACTCAGTACACATTAGCTGCTGTTACTCTGTACCTTGAAACTTTCCGACTATGAGAGTTGGTGGCTCTATGAGCACTCTGAAAGAATATCATGTACGTGGTTTGACTCTTTAATACCCTGTGTAGTAGATGCTGTTGATGTCTGGCCCAGATCCTTTTTCCAGGGTATGGTACCCATTCCCCTGAGTATTGGCTGCTCGGGACTTACACCTCCAACTTTTTGCACAAGTTTCCCCTTGGCTGATGGAAACCACTTCACCTCAAGATTCCTGGGAGATTTTGACCCCAAATGGCTCCTAGGGACAGCCTGTAGCAAATGCCTGGTTGATGTGAGGTTATAACCCCTTGCCATCGGGCTAAACATTTTGGTGCAGTTGAGAACCTTCCAGAGCTCCCTATGGTTTCAGGATGAAGCTAGACTTCTCCTGAAATCACACCTTCACCTAGCTTCTCTTCCTGCCCCATCCTGCTTCTTTCACTCCTTCTGAGGTCTTTCCTGAGAGCTCTCCATTCGTAAGTCACTTACACAAGAATTCCTGTCTTAGCCTCTTTTTCTTGGGAGCCCAACTTAAGACAGTGGATTGTAAGAATTTTATAAGAGAGGCCATGTCTTCCACAGCTTTTATGCCCTTAACATTGCCTATCGTTCTACATATTATTTAGTTTATAGAAGAAAATCAGAAAGTGCTGATAAAATCACTTAACTTGTGTGGTAAATGTTCACCTAAGCATAGAGACCAGGACATGTTACCTAACCCTACTTTATAACAAATGTTTTCTCGGTTCTGAAATGCTGTAATTCACAGTGTTTAATAATATTTAAAATTAAAACTCTTTTATTTGGTGGAAGTGTAGTCTTAGAAGATTAGAGAATTCCTGCCAAAATTTGATCCCACAGGTCTTGTATGAAAAAAATCAAAGAGACTGGGACTAAGAAGCTTCATCTCCCTCAAGAACACCTAGACACAGAGAAGGTAGCTTTTATTGACTGTATGGGGATGCCAAGCAGTCAAAGTTATAGTGAAGTCAATGGTTCATTCAAAAGGATTCAGATATAACATCACTGTTACGCAGATGAGGCAAAGGCACTGCAGAGTTGAAATGTCCAGCGTTAAACAATGAGTGGTGACTGAGCTGGGGCTAGACACTGGTGTTTATTTTCTAGTCTGGGGTATTTTCCACATCAGCACACTTCTCTTGGCTACCTTTTTTCAAACTAATGTAACAGGAGTGGATTTGTTTACTTTTCAATATCCAAGAATTACATAGAAAGAAAACCTAGAGTTGATGACAAAGGGCATGAAAGCCATCCTTCTTCCCCCGTATTCTAAGCTTTCAGAATTGCAGTGGTTGAGGCCGCCTCTCCACGGGAATTCCTAGAGGGGCCAGGTTAGATTACTGGCCTACTGGCTGTATTACTAACCATCCCCTAGGCTTCCCTCTGTCAGAATACAAGGGGAGAACTGAGAGCTCATAGACCAACGAGCTAAAGTAGCAGTTACAGCTAACCCCAGTTAGCTGTTGATGTTTGCCGTTTTACCTCTTCTTCCATCCTGCACTACTATCAGAGGCTCTAAGGTACAGGACAGGGAAGAAGAGAAGAGGAGGGGGAGGAAGTGTCTCAGAATTGTACCCCATTCTTAGAGCAGTGGTTGTCAAAGGGGACAATACCGCCCCCTAGGGGGCCTTTTGAAAATGTGTCAGGTTGTTTATGATTTTTACAGGGTTTTGTGGGTGTCAGTGAGGGAAGTCAGATAATCTGCATTTCCCAGGACTCTGCTGCATAAGAACTGTCCCACATCCATCAAGACTGTCAAACGTGTCAGACATTCATGTAGGCAAAACCCTATTCATAATTATTTGAACTTTGAACCTAACTTCATCTTACATATGAACATAAAATAATTTTTCATGTGTTAATATGCAATGAATATTCCAATAATGCAAATATTTTATACATCAAGAGAAGATCATATTTTATTACATCAGGACCTTACCAAGAATTTTTTACCTTTTCAGAAAATCATGTCATCCACTGAGCATGATGCATGTGTTGGTCTGTATTTTTAGCTCTTGTGTCCATGGTGATTGTACATATAAGTAAAAGTATCTGATCACTTTATTATGTTATCTGGTGTAGTCATGGTGAGGGTTTTCATCTTTAGACACACTTGCATTCGTTCTAATTTGTTTCTCTTTTTGTGTTCTTTATAATAAAATCCAGGCTTTGTACTGATGGTTTTAAATGGCCCATTATTAAATATTTCTTATAAAAAACAGACTCTGGGTCAGAGGAGGTTGAAACTCTTTGTCATAGAGCCCCAGAAGAAGGGGGAGGGGGAAAGCATGTTGCTTAACACTTTTCCTGGTCTTAATCACCAGAATGAGCTCTTAATAACAAAATGGCTAACAATGAAGATATCTAATCTTTTGTTAAGGGAGCAGCTACTCATTGGGAAGTGGGAGTTAAACATAGTATAATTTGTGAGG